TCTGTTTCAACAGGAAGAACTGAATATGTTACTCATCATAGCTTAATGGTACAGAAATACACAATAGTGTTTGTCTGCTACAGTCTGCTTAACAATTATGGCAGCACCTTGTGGATGTTTAGCAAAGCTTGTGGTAGCTAATCCGTAAAATGTTAGACATGTTCTGTCATGCTGAATTTTTCCCCGATGTGCACGGTTCAGTCATTCAGGTCATGTTTTCTTAACCTTCAGATTAGTTTATCAAAGCTGTGACACCAAGACTGAGGTGAGTCCGCTGATTAAAACAGAGAACTGTGACGCGTCACTGGACCATGACAGCAATTTCTATGTTTGGTTTATGAACAACTTGTGAATAAAGCTTACACGCTTGAGTTTCCTCTGGAGTCTCTGGTTTCAGTCCAAAGCTTTTAAGGTTAACTGGTTTGGGTCAATGACTGAGTTTTAATTTGTATTATTTTTGCTACATCTGGCAACTTTGTGCCCTCTGGTGCATGAAATACTGATCTGTGGTGGATTTTCTGTGAACTGCATGTGTCCAATTCACAAAAGTAAAATAAATAAAATGATGTGAAAGAATAATAAGAAATAGAAATAAACAGCAATAATGCAAGAACTATATATCAGGGTAGAATTAAGTCCAAATATAAAGTACAATTAGATGCACATAGTCATACTAAGGTAGGACATACAGATTGTACAGGTGTTATTATATAAAACTGTATTATAATGTGTATATCACAGTTCAGTAATCAGGCAGTGATTCAGTAGCCTGATGGCCTGTACAACCGCACATGTTGAAAAATAATACTTAACCAATATGTTGAAATTTAAACTTGTCCGTACGTGATGAGCTGGACATGTTCAGTGTTACTGCTACCTCGCAATGTGTCATGACACCTGTGACAAAGGTAACTCTGTGCCTGTCTTTGAGATTTGACAAAACTGCGTTTGTTCCTCTGGAACCAGCTGGAACGAGCTAACACTCCACTGCTGTATGCAATGAAGGTCCTTCAGTAGTCAAACAAACACGTGTAAGCTTGTGCAGAAATCATTAATGAAACTGTTTTGCTGTTTTCTGCTTTGAATTCACATCCAAAGTTGCACATCGCTCACTTTTTCCTCTGTTCTGCTCTGCTGGAAACTAACTGCTCTGCTGATCTGTGGGCGGCTGTTTGCTTCCAGTAATTATCAGTTAGGCCTCTTCTTCTCTCTATAATCAGTTACAGCTGCCATGTCCTTCGTCATCCTCCCTCTTCCCTAATAACCTTTCTCCTTCCCTCATGACAAGTTAATGAGGGACGTCCAGTGACCCCCCCAACAGGGCACTAAACACCAGCTATAAGACAGTGAAGGCTAAAAAAAAAGCAAAAACGTGTCACTGCAGTAAGTGAACACCGCACAAACACCAGAGACAGGTTCAGGGCTCCATGTGGGCACACACTACTACTTTGATTTAATCCTGAATTAAATTTAAGACACAGGGTCTTCAAAATAGATAAACAATAAGGCAGTACTTTTACATGTTTGTAGTGTCCTTTGTATTTTTGTCTAATGTGGTTAAAGTGACCCATTCTTCTGATCTGACTCCACATTTCTATTCTTGGACTCTACTAGAAAAGCTTTGCATGATCCAGAGTTCAAAATAATCATGACGATGTGGGAGATGCACCTGACTTTACATTTTCCAGTGTGGCTTGACGCCCCAACCTCGCTTTAACTGGACTTTCTTCTGATTGGCTGCCCCTTAAATACAAAATACTTAAATAACAAGTGATTAAAATAGTAAAATATCTGGTTATGTAAGATTGTGACAAGATTGAATAAATATCAGTTTTTAGAAAATAACAAAAGGGGGGGGGGGAATAGAGGAAATATAACTGTTAGTTTAAAGGACAGAAATGGAGGTAAAAACAGGACATATCAAAAATAATCACCCAGTTTCAAAGTGATTTAATTTCTGGCTGGAGTCACAAACTTCATATGGATGTAGGGGGTCACACCAATTAGGTTGGTGTGCAAACAAAAGTAGTAGCAGAAGCTCTTAAACATTGTAATTTAACAACAAACATTAAAGGAAAGATGCACAGCTTATATACACTGCGTTCCAAATTATTATGCAAATTTTGTTTAAGTGTCATAAAGAGTAAATAAGTTGTTTTTCAATTAAACTCATGGATGGAATTGTGTCTCAGGGCTCTTTGTATCACTGAAATCAATCTCGGACACCTATGATCATTAGTTTGCCAGGTGAGCCCAACTAAAGGAAAAACTACTAAAGAAGGATGATCCACATTATGAAGCAGACCAGCATTTTCAAGCAATATAGGAAGGAAAAATGATCATTCTGCTGCTGAAAAGAGTGAAATAGTTGAATGGCTTGGACACGTAATGAAAACCTTAGATATTTCACGAAAATTTAAGCATGATCGCCATAAT